CTGTTCAGGGTTCTCTCCTCTTTGCTCATCAGTGAGAGACGGTTTTTTTTTTATTATTAAGTATCTTGAGTGATTTCTCCCTGGAAGGCATATTAATTGTAAACAGCTGCACTTCCAGGCTATTAAGAAAGTTTTTGAAACAAGTTCTCTCAATGGACCTAGGTTGCCTTGATCCCAGTCTGTTGTTTTCCAGGTCAAAGACCTTGCTGTCCTCTATATTACATCTTTATTTTTGTTCATTATTTCTTTCTTTATTATTTTTATTGAGATATATATTATTTTCCACTCCCCTTACTTCCTCCCCTGTCCCATTCTATGCTCTGCCATGATCCCTAAACTCTCGGGATATCTTGTTTTTTTCTACTTCCCATGAATGTCTGTCTTAGGGTCCTCTTTGTTGTCTAGATTCTCTTGGATTATGAATTGAAGGCTTGTTTTTCTTTTCTTTATTTCTAAAAGCCATTTATGAGTGTGTACATATTATATTTGTCTGGGTCTGGTTTACTTCTTTCAATATGACATTTTCTTTCTTTCTTTTTTTCTTTCTTTCTTTCTTTTTTTCTTTCTTTCTTTCTTTTTTGTTTTATGAGACAAGGTTTCTCTGTAGCCTTGGAACCTGTCCTGGAACTATCTCTTGTAGACCAGGCTGGCCTCGAACTCACAGAGATCTGCCTGCCTCTGCCTCCCGAGTGCTGGGATTAAAGGTGTGTGCCACCACCGCCCGGCTTCAATATGACATTTTCTAAATCTATTCATTTGCCCACAAATTTCAAGATGTCATTATTTTTTTCCACTGTGTAGTACTCTGTTATTGTGTAAGTGAACCACTTCATCTTTATACATCTTTAAAATTTTAAATGACTGTACCAGCTGAGAGTTTAAAATTATATCTTTGAGTCATGTATTCTACTATTTACTGTAGTCCCAAGACAAGGAATTGCATGTGGACTATGGTTTCTGCCTTCAAAGAAGATTAGGGAGAAAAATGTATTGTTCACATTGAAGAGGGAGACAGGGTAGGCAATCAGTTGCTAGAGGCACCATTATGGAAAAGGACCTAATTGTGGCAGAAAGAGGTGATTTTGTAATTTCCCAGCAAGTATGAATTCATATCATATGAATGAAGACAAACCAGAATGCTGGCCATATAGTTTGAGAAGGTTAGTTTGAGTCATGGAATATTGAGTTTGCAATTAGGGATCTTTCCTATGCATATATGTTCAGTCCTGCTTGGCACAGTTAAGTCAGCTCAGAGGTTTGAGAAACAGTCCATTGCCTGAAACTCTTTTACAGATCTCAGTAGTCAACATTCTTTGTTTGATTTCTTTTCTTTTTATTTCTGTTTGGAGCAATATCTCCTATAGCTAAGGCTTGCCTAAAATATGTAAATAAAATTGCTTTGAAAACATAATCCTGCTACTTTTTCTATGATTGACCTTGGACTGGTCAGTAAGAAAGAAAAGAAATCTCTGAGCAAGTTTTCCCTAATCTTTCTGGCTTTTATTGGGAACATCCAAAAGAAGAGGGTGTGCGCCAGTACTGAGTTCATTGACCAACATTGAACCTGGTGTAGTAGCAGTGCAGAAGGGAGAGGCAGGAAGGGATATGAGGAGTTTACTGCTCTGACAATATAATATTACCACTGTAGAATAATGCAGTATATTTGAGATTATCAACAAATGTTCTCACTGACCATTTCATGGGGTCCGCACGCCAGGGCATTAAAGAATCTGATCTTATCATGACATCAAATTACTGCAGTATTCTAAGTTCAACCAAAATAGAAGACCTGGGTAAAACCCTTGCTGGATCGTTTAATTAGCCATAATTGTGTTGTGGCTATATAAGTATACACCCATTTGGGTCATAATGTTCAATCCCACAGTTTACAGGTAAAGAGGAATAATGTACAGCTGAGAAGTTCCTTTATGGCTCCCGTCATATCTCCAGTAAAGCTCATTGCTTCTTTGTGATCAGGATTTTGGGTTTGATCAATCCTTGTAACTGAGTAATAGTCTCCATTTTAAGCCACTTTGAAGGCCATTGAGAGCCAGCTAAAACAAAATATCTGCACCAGTATCCTGAAGACCAGAAAAGCGCTTTTCTTTTGTAAACAAAGTGAGTTCTGTTCACTGTGGACCTATGAATTTTAGCTAATGACATCAGATGAACCAAATCCAGCCTCTCCTTTCTTTCTTACATCTTTTTACTTGATTTCTAGTTTGTACTTTATTAAGTAAAATTAATTCTGTAAGTCTCTGTCTTGTATTTACCATGGACATTCCATTAGGTGAGTGAGTCATGAAGTTGGTTGTTCCTTCAAAGTCAGCATCAATCACTCCTGAAAAATTTTGATTGACTGTCCTACCATGTACTGGGAAGGTTATGCTTTCCTTTGTATCCTGTTTGTCCACTTTGGATAGTGTATTACCAGAAGCTGATGCAAGGGCATCAACTTGTCCAAATAGCTAGCATTGGCCACAAAGAAAAAGAATTCCATATGAACTTTCTTCAATATCCATCATCCATAGATTTGTATAAATATAAAATATGCCAATGCAAAATGTGTAATGTTAATAGTTTTTTTAGATTAAAGTTGATTCAATAATCTACCTTTTATCATCTCATTTTTATATCATGCCCCCCTTTTCTCCTTTAGAAAGGAATCCCTGAATTTAATCTCCCTTGATTGGCTTTTTTCCTGATCATTACCAATAACAACTTGTAACCTACCCCTCCTATGTGATAATATAAACATCCATAAACTATCTTTTAGGAGACTGGACATCGTTCTCTAGACTACTTACTATTTGTTGACACTGAGATCTTTGAGGGAACTTTAAGAAAATCATATTCACTGTTAGGTTTTGACTGCAGGATCTTGTGAGGCTGGACAATCTTATGCAGTGCCCTAGAAGATGTTTTGAATGTAGAACCCACCAACTTCAACAGAGGCATTTTGAGATGTTGAATCATTTTGGCCATTCATTTTAATTGGTGTTTGGTCTCTTTGTTCTGAAAATATATAAACTTTTAAAGATAACATATATTACATGTATGAAATATAAGGGTTGAACAGTCAGTTAAAGATTTTTTTCTATAAAATATATGTTATATGTTTCCTATTATTTTTGTGTTTTACATTTCTTTTAGGTAAGATCTTTTCCCATTCAGTAGGTTGCCTTTTTGTCTTATTGATTGTGCCCTTTGCTTTACAGAAGCTTCTCAGTTTCAGGAGGTCTCATTTATTTATTGTTCTCCATGTCTGTGCTACTGGGGTAATATTTAGGAAGCGGTCTCCTGTGCCCATGCATTGAAGGCTACTTCCCACTTTCTCTTCTTTCAGGATCCATGTAATTGAATTTATATTGAGATCTTTAATTGATTTGGACTTGAACTTTGTGGATGGGGATAGATATGGATCTATTTTCATTCTTCTACTTGTTGACATCCAGTTATCCGTCATCCTCATAAAGTTTAGTTTAAACTTGTTTTCTTCTGCCTCTTCTGGGTTAGGATGATCAAGTCTTCCTGTTGTATGACCACTGCTTTCTGGTGGTAGAGGGCTTAGAGAGTGGGATGTCTACTGGGTGGGTGGTCACTCACCTCTTGGTCCTCTTGTGAATGCTTTTCATGTTGTTGAATGTATTCTTTCATTGGCACTTACCCATCTCTTCTTCAAATTGAAGCCGCCATTGTCACTGCTTCTTGATCCTGTTCTTCCAGTAGCTCTCTGTGTATTTATGTACAGTTGTTGATCTGCTCTTCAGTGTCACTGTGTCTCAGGTATCCACTGAGCTCTCTTGACCTGCTCGCTTAGTCTTCTCTCTTGGTTAGCTCTGTTCTTCCACTCTGTGCAGTCACAGCCTGCAGTTGCAGCTTGTTTTTCAGAGGTTGTGGCAGATAGGAGGGTCTGATATGTGGGGTGGGGGTGATGGAGCAGCCTACCTGTAAGAAGTTCACCTCCTGGCTGGCTAGAGAAGATGAGGCAGGTGGGGGACGGACCCAAGGTTTTGACCTGGTATGGAGGGCATAGAAAGTGGGGTGCCCCACTGGGTGGGTGGTCCCTCACGTCTTGGTCTCTGTGCTTATTTGCAGCCTGTGTTTCAGAGTTCCTCTGAGGTCATGGGGGAGAGCAGGGTTTGGAACAAAGTGGGACTTGTACTTTATAGGATCCGATCGATGGGATGGGGGTGTTGGGGCAGCCTACACGAAGGGAACTTACCTGTTGGCTGGCTAGAGAAGATAGGTAGGTGAGGGGCCGTGGTTTGCCCCAGTATACAGTGGGGTGTTCTGCTGGGTGGGTGGTCACTCACCTCTTGGTCCTTTTGTGAATTTGCAGCCTCAATAGCTAGCTCTTAAATTAACACATATTTCTTCTATCTGCTTTTCCATGTTGTTTGGTATCTTTTCTCAATCCAGCGTGTACCTCATGCTTCTCTCTATCTCTGGTGACCATCCTCTGATTGTGCCTCCATCTTCCTTTCCGCCAGAATCCTCTCAGTCTGGTTTTCTCACCTAACCTCTTCCTGCTCAGCTATAGGTCAGTGAGATCTTTATTGACCATATTCAGAGATTAATACATATATTCATAATGTACAAAAAGTTTCTTTCACAGCAGAAATACACAGGCCTGTGACTCCTGAGTGCTGGGATTAGAGGCATGAACCAATACAACCACCTTGCTCATCCTTTTTTTTATGATTTCTCGAGTGTATGATCAGTATTGTTGATCTGTTTGCTTGTCACTCTCTTTATGTCACTTAATGATCATTTCTCCTGCAAGACTATACCCTATTCTAAATATGCAGAAATAACAAGTGAATCTTACTCAGCTTCTTTCAAAATGACATGATGCATTAAAACTTCTGTGTCATGGAATAAGAGTGAGAAACACCAAAATTATATAAATATATTTTTGAAGAAGTATACATTTACAGTATGGTCAGTATTATGCTTTTTCTTTCACCCATATTTCTATATGGCCATTTTAGAATGCAGTGACCTATGAGGATGTGTATATACATTTCACTTGGGATGAATGGGCTTTGCTGGATCCTTCCCAGAAAAATCTTTACAAAGAAGTGATGCTGGATACCTACAGGAACCTCACTGCTATAGGTAAGACTGTGAATTTTACTTCATTTTTTAAATAAGAGGACAACTCTTTCTTGCCAAATGATTTTTTTGTTTGCACTTTTGATTGCAAAAGTGGGAGAATGATGGTAATAAATCAGTCATGGTTCTAAGGTGACCTGAAGATAATATTTTAAATTTTGCAGTATTTCTGAAATATTTCATATATTTTCTGGTATTGTATTTTAGCCAACAATTGGGAAGACCATAATATTGAAGAAGAACCTGATCAAATTTCTCCACAACATGGAAGGTAATTTTCATGTACAGGCACTCACAAATATGTCTCTGAGTAAATTTTAATGTGTCCTGGAAGTTTTAAAGAGATGCAATAGTGTAACAAGCACAGATTTATTTATTTACAGAATATTGATATCTAATTAGCACCTCCATATTCCTCAGTGTAAGGTAATGAATTCATGTTAGCAATGCACTCCTCTTAGAAAGAAGAGAAGAAAGCAATGTCTTAACAGATATCACCATTTGAATCATAACTCCATGTGAGCTATGCCACAGAACTTCCAATCCATTTAGTTTCATAGCACACAGACATTTTACAACGTGTACACAATGAATAGGTGATGAGTATATAATCAGTGTTCAAAATCTTCTAATAACCAAATAGTGCAGAGTAAAGCTTGTGTTACTCATATGCATTTAAAGACTTTACTAAGTTTATCAAGATGGGCAGTTTCTGAGAGTCAAAAATATTGTTCTGGACAAAATTTAATCCTTATACCACATGTCTATGGGGATAAATATCAAACTGAATGAATGTGATATGAAAAAGTTTTGTTTTCTTTACTAGGTATATCATATGTCACAATAGATACAAGCCACGTGAGCATAGGGAGATGGAAAGAGGCAACTTACTTCCCTCTCTTTCCCAGAACAATTAAAAAATGTAGGAGTCCCTATTTTGAGTATACTTTCTGAATGTGATATAAGTTCACAATTAATTGCCTTTCCAACTTCATTGGGGATTCATCAGCAAACTCATGTTTCAGAAAATCCCAATGAGTACTGGGAATGTGGAAATTCTCTGTTTGTTCCTGTTCACTTTACAAATGTAGTATGAATGCAATCAGTATGGTAAACTTTGAGTTCTTACTGTTCTCTTCAAATCTGTAAAAACCTCATAGAAAAGGAATATTATATATATATATTATATATGTGAGTGTCTTATTTAGATCATCTGTTGCTGCTGTCAATGGACGGTATTACCATGGTAACTCCTCTTTATTTTATTTTATTTTTTGAGACATGATGTCTCTGTAACAGCATAGCTGTCCTGGAAGTAGCTCTTATACAACAGGCTGGCATTGAACTTGGAGAAATCTGCGTGCGTCTGCCTCCTGAGTACTGGGATTAAAGGCAGGCACGGCCACTGCCTAGTCAGACCACAGTGACTCTTATAAATGAAATCCTGTAATTGAGACTGGTTTAGAGTTTGAAAGATTTAGTCTATTATCATCATGACAAGAAACATGATGGCATGCAGGCATACAAGATGCTGGAGAGGTAGCTGTGCATTCTACAACTTTGTCTACAGGCTGCAGAAGCACTTCAAGGCTTACCTCAAGAGTGACACACTTCCTCCAACAAGATCACACCTACTCCAACAAGGCCACATGCCTTATCTAATAGTACAAATACCTATGGACCAAACGTTCCAATACTTGAGGCTATGGGGGCATTAGCTAATCAAATACATCAGTAAATTGTGTTAGTAAAGACTCCTACCATCACAGGTATCTTTAAAGATGCAAAATAACCCATAATAAAGGGAATCACAGTGGGTGTAAACAAAGTGAAAACCTTAAGATCTAATTCCTCTTTAAAATTAGACCAAATTGTAAAGTGAATTCATATGGTAAAATTATTTATCAGTTTAATAATTGTGCTAAAGCATTCTCATTGAACAATTATCTTTGCAGGCAAGAAGAAATTTGTACTGGAGAGGAATACTGTCAGTATATTCAGTGTGATAAAGTCTTTACATGTCACAGTTTTCTCAGAAGGCAGAAGAGAAGACATGCTGAAGAAAAACTTTATGAATGTACTCAATGTGGTAAAGGCTTTGCTAATCACACTTATCTTAAAATACATAAAAGAACACACACTGGAGAGAAACCCTACAAATGTAATCAGTGTGATAAAGCATTTGCACAACAAAGTCATCTCCGCGTACATAAAAGAAAACATACTGGAGAGAAACCTTATATATGTCATCAATGTGGCAAAGCCTTTGCATATCACAGTAATCTCCAAACACATGAAAGAACACATACTGGAGAGAAACCCTACAAGTGTAATCAATGTAATAAAGCCTTTGCTCAATACAATAGTCTTCAATACCATAAAAGAATACATACTAAAGAGAAACCCTACAAATGTGATCACTGTGGTAAAGCACTTGAGCAGCACATTTGTCTTCATTACCATAAAAGAGCACATACTAGTGAGAAACCTCACAAATGTAATCAATGTGATAAAGCCTTTGCACAATACAGTAGTCTTCAGCAGCATAAAAGAACACATTCTGGAGAGAAACCTTATGAATGTACTCAATGTGGTAAAGGCTTTGCAAATCCTAGTTATCTAAAAATACATGAGAGAAGACATACTGGAGAGAAACCCTACAAATGTAATCAATGTGATAAAGACTTTCCATATTACAGTAGTCTTCAACGCCATAAAAGAGCACATACTGGAGAGAAGCCGTATAAATGTCATCAATGTGATAAAGCCTTTGCACATCACAATAGTCTTCAACACCATAAAAGAACACATACTGGAGAGAAACAAATGTAATCAATGTGAGAAAGCCTTTGCAAATCACAATGTCTTCAACGTCATAAAAGAACACATAGTGAGGAAAGGAAAAGCCCTATGAATGTAATCAATGTGATAAAGCCTTTTCATGAAATCATGCCTTCGAAGTCAAAAGAATTCATTCTGAAGAAAAAACATAATAATATAATCAATGTAGTAAAGCCTTTACCTATCAAAATGACCTACAAAAGTATGAAAGAGTTCATACCTGAGAAATACTATGTAAATATACTTAAATACCAAATACTTTAATTGTGGTTGTGGTTTGTATTGTGTGTATACAAATCAGGATTTTCATCTATTTGGTAGAAGTGTTATAAAAATAAGGTAACAAGTAATCAATGTTATAATCATAACATAGCCTGATGTGCTATGGATATGTGTATATTATTTTGTGTTCTGTGCTCCTTCATGTCCCCTTTGGTTATCTGTCACTTCATCTTGAAGTACTGCCTTCTAAAAGATGCCAGATAATTTAATGGAAATGAGATACCAGATAATTTAATGGCAATGAGATTTAATTTTAGAAAAGCAAAAATATTTCTGCTGTATGTGTCTGTAATGTGATCAGGGGATTTGTAGCCCTAACAGATCTGTTTAGCATGGAGGACAACTTTGAGGGACCTACTGTTGCCATCTTCATATGCTGATATGGTCAGGTTCCAGCTTTGCACACCAGAGACATGCCCTACTGAGCTGTCTCACTGATGCTCAAGTAAGATTAATTGAAGTGTTATGTCAGTAAAATATTTTTTTTCAGATTGTAATAATATTGTCATCTAATGATGGAGGAAAACAGGACAATTTGAGTAATAAATCATATTTGTAAATAAACATGATATACTGCTATCTTTTTGATCATGTTAGTTTATTTTGAAGATTAAACACCTCTTCATAACCCTTTCTCAGAACCACAAATGAGTACCAGAGAATTGTCTCAGTAAGTATAATTAATTGCTTGCTACTAATTCTAATGATCCAGGATCAAATGTCTGGAGGACCCATATTACTCCAACAAATATTTTCTTATTTCTACACATGGAATGTGGCGTAGGAACATTTAGGCATCAGCACATACATAAATAGTTTTGAAACCTGTAGAAGCCCAAAAATGTGAGCCATTCTGTAGGTCAATAGTTTAAGATTGATCAAAGTTATTGACAACTATGGCTACACACCCTGACCTAGGATGTGGTTATTTTGTAATTTGGACTTTAAGATGGCCCATAGAGGTGTATCCTCTCCACCTTGGTCAAAAGTCTGAGAATTTAAGTATAAGTATATTTTTGTTCCTTCTTTTGAATAAAGAGGTTTGCCTTAGTGAGTGGCTGCCTTCAGGATACTTGGTCTAGGGTAGATTCACTACTTAACAATGCATATCTCAAGAATAGTATCACATTAAAGCAGTCTTTGTCTTCCTCAGTTTTGTATTGGGGTATAAAAGTGTATGGAAAATAAACTTTGGTGAATTCAACATTCAATATTGACTGAGTTGCCCTCCTGACTCTCTATCTATCCTGACATCTATGTGATTCTTATCTCTTTTCCTCCTACCTAACATTTTTAATCTTCACATCCCTACCCTGGAAGGTATGGACCTGATGTGGTTAGGACCATGGCAGAATTCAACCAAAAATGGTGGCCCATGATATAACTTTTATTTCTTCCTTGACCCAGGGGTAATTCAGTAGTTGACTGTTCAGCTTCCATGAGTTTGTTGGCTTCCTAGGGGTAGCATTGTTGTTGAATTCTAACTTTAATCCATGGTGGTCTGACAAGACACAAATGGTTACTAATATTTTTTTGTATCTGTGGAAGTTTGCTTTGTTACCCAGTATGTGGTCAATTTTTGAGAAGGTTCCGTGAGCTGCAGAGAAGAAGGTATATTCTTTCCTATTTGGGTGGAATGTTCTATAGATGTCTGTTAAGTCCATTTGATTCAATACCTCCAATAATTCTCTTATTTCTCTGTTAGGTTTCTGTCTGATTGACCTGTCCATTGGTGAGAGAGGAGTGTTGAAGTCTTCTACTATTAGTGTGTGTGGTTTGATGACTGCCTTCAGTTCTAGAAGTTTTTCTTTTACATAAGTGGGTGCTTTTATACTAGGGGCATAGATATTCAGAATTGAGACTTCCTCCTGATTAATTGTTCCTGTTATGAGTTTAAAATGTCCATCTCCATCTCTTCTGATTGAATTTAGTTTGAAGTCAATTTTGTTAGATATTAGAATGGCCACACCCGCTTGTTTCTTAGGTCCGTTTGCTTGGAAAACCTTTTCCCAACCCTTTACTCTTGAGTAGGTGTCTGTCTTTGTGGTTGAGGTGTGTTTCTTGTAAACAGCAGAATGTTGGATCCTGTTTTCGTATCCAATCTCTAAGTCTGTGCCTTTTTATAGGTGAATTGAGTTCATTAATATTAGGTGATATTAATGGCCAGTGGCTGTTGACTCCGGATATTTTCCTTTTTTTTTTTTTAGAAAAAAAAAGTAGAGAGTGTGTGTTTCCCTTCTTTGAGTTGTGCTTGTGAAGGGTTGCTAGATGTCTGAGTTATTGTAGGCAGTGTTGGCAATGTTGGATTCCTCGGGTTGCGATTTTCCTTCTATTACTTTCTGTAAGGCTGGGTTTGTGGCTGCGAATTGTTTAAATTTGTTCTTATCCTGGAATATTTTGTTTTCTCCATTGATAGTGAATGAAAGCTTGGCTGGGTAAAGTAGTCTGGGCTTGCATCCATGGTCCCTTAATTTCTGCAGTACCTCTATCCAGGACCTTCTGGCTTTCATGGTTTCCATAGAGAAGTCCGGTGTAAGTCTGATAGGTTTACCTTTATAAGTTACTTGACCTTTTTCCTTTGCAGCTCTTAATAGTCTTTCTTTAAATCTGTATGTTTTGTGTTTTGATTATTATATGGCGAGGGGATTTTTTTTTGATCCAGTCTATTCGGTGTTATGTATGCTTCTTGAACCTTCATAGGGATATCATTCTTTAGGTTGGGAAAGTTTTCTTCTATAATTTTGTTGAATATATTTTCTGGGCCTTTGATTTGCAATTCTTCTCCTTCTTCTAC